AGACTCCAACTCAAAAAAAAAAAAAATGTGTATTCCAAAAACTATGTGTGTCTAGAATTTCTTCTCAACAGTTTTTGTGAAAAGTGCAAAGTCATAAATTAACAATAAGCATACTCTAGAGAAATACTATAATCATGCAGGGAATTTCTATGTTATATTATCTGTCCTTCCTTGGCCAAATCTTGTAAAATTTGCCTTTGTGAGAAAGATTAACACATGTATTTGAATGAATCCTCCTTTTGGAATAACATGGGATTAGGATTAGTTCTTTCATTTAGAATGTTCTATGTGACATTTTATTTTATTTTTTTAGGGAAGTGAAATAACACATTGAGTTCACACTCATGATGATTAATCATCATCTTAAAAGGTTGTGGAAGTTAAGAGAAGCTGTGAATTATTGAGAAATTTGAGAAAAGGGTACCAAAAAACTGTGAACCTGATATCAGTGTATTGTGATATCGTGAACATATTTCATCAGGAAAAGGAGGTACTAGGAAGAAATCTTATTTAAGATATTCTAACTACTCAAAGACATTACTGAACTTCAGCATTTAATGAACTTTTATGGCATCTCACATTCTTCATTAGATGTAAATTTAATCCTCTAGTACAAAAGACTTTACTTTTGTGCATATCATGAGACCTATGCTCTTGCTCTAATTTTCAAGGATCTAGGAGGAAAAGGTAAGAAGATTACATATGGAATATATAAAGCAAAAATGAGTCTTTTTGTTGTTGTTCTGCCTTCTACTACATGCAGCTATTCTTGTCTTCTTAACTATTCCCCAGTGATACAGGTGCCAGATCAAATTCCACATTAAATGCTCCTTGATCTAATTCTTACCAATTCACTGTCTATTGCCCAAACCCTGTGCATAAATTTTCACTTGACTCTACAACCACCTATAAAATATAAGCCATGTAATTATTTTAGAAGAGATTTCTGCCATTGTCTTGCAAGAGAATATATTCAAGCAAGTGTGATAGGATATGATTATCAAATGTGCTTGCAGTCCTCTATACATATTTTTACTTCCATCTCTTAGCTTTTCTCCCATACAGTAAAAAATACTCATCATAGATGACAAACATTGAGTAGAAAAGCAGAAGAAAAAAAAGGTCTTTTAAGATCCCAACCTTCAGTTTTGAATTGCAAACGTTCAGGTGCTAAAGAACTCAGGAAATCTAAAATCCATGATTCTGTCAAAAAGAAAAGCTTCTTCTTTTTTTTTTTTTTGATCCATCTTAAAAACATCAAGGATAAGATAGTAGAACAATGAAGAATAAATCATTTTATGCTGATGGATCCCATGGAAAGGTTACTGCTATATCCAAGGGAGGGAGAAAAATATAAAAAATCCTCAGACAAATTAGAGTATCTCAAGCAGAAGGATCCAATGTGATCAACTTTCTCATACAATTCCAAGTAAAGCCTAGGAGAATGAAAATTTGGTGTCTGGGAAGATTTTCCTGAGTAAAGATTTTCCTGATTTTCAGAGATGATGGGTGCAGAAGAATATTTCCCATGTGACAAAAATGACCAACAATGACCCGAGTAAATACGTGATGGAAATAAAGATGGGAATAAGTATTTCTTAACAGTTGAGATTCCAATATGGATATTGGATGTCACCAGTGATCAACTATATGGCCCCCTCCAATCCACACTGTGACGATATGAACTCAAATTTAGGTATAATTCCAGGGGAGAATGATGCTGACTGAGATTAGATATCCAGAATTTGGTGGAATGACACTGAAATAAAAATTAAATTTAGTTATATAAAAATAATTTTAATTTATTCATTTATTTTTACTAAGATTTATGGAGTAAAATTTGTATCCATTTTTCTTTTTATTTCTCCTCAAATTCTGTGCCTCAGTTCTGAGAAACTAAGTTATTGCTAATGTGCTGGAGAATGTTTAACAACTAGCTTTCCAGAAAATAAAAAAAAACCCATGTTAGCATTTGCCAATATCCATGGAGTGATTTTAAGCTACCAACTTCAGATGTAGTTAGTAGATATAGATGAAGATCTAGATATAGATGGGTGTAAGCATGGGCAGTTGGATGGATGGATGGTAATGGATGGGTGAGTAGATGCATGGATAGATTTATATATGTAGATATGGATACTTGAAGAACAGACAAACGGGAAGGTGGATGGATAGATGTATGGAAGGACAGATGAGCAGGTGGGTGGATAGTTAGGTGGTTGGATGTTTGAAGTAAGAGCCCCCAGAGTCTATTATTAAAGAACCACTGACCTGTTTAATTTTAAACTATTGTCACTGAACATGACAATGGGAGGGAGATGCACAAATCATCTTGTACAAGTTGGTACCAGCCAGCTTCAGTTCATATGTACCTGAAGGAGGTACCCTCCTTTCTCAATGATTTACATGTCAAAACGCAAAGTTCTGTTAGTGTCACTGATGGATGTAGAGTACTTCTAAAGCAAAGAAAAAGTTCAGATTAATGAGTTAGTTTTTACAGGACCAATATTCTTACACTTAGGTGGTTTTTATTTTCCTATTTCCATACTCTGCTCCTTGTGTGGAGGATAGTCATGAATTTTATTTTCCTTCACTTTTATTATTCAGAAATCATTTTCCATTGGCAGATTGCAGAAAGAAAGGGTAAAGGAGATTAATTCTGACAGAGTCTGGTCTGTATTCAAAGTCAGCATAACTGAAAAATGCACAGAAATCACAATGATCAGGGCAAAAGTACAGGAAACATGAGAAGCTTAAGAAGATATTGCTGTATATCTAATTATTAAAGAAAAACTGTTATAGTTCTATTCCAAGATATTAAAAGGTCTAAGCTCATCTAGAGTTTATATTCATTAGGTTAATTACAACTTATAGACAATACAATATACCTTCTGAACTTTATTTTAATATGCTTATTGTTTGCCACTTTTTAATGTGTTTTATATGTATTACTTAACTAATTATTATGAAATATATAAAAAAGCAGGTACCATTATTACTACTACCATGTTATAGATATAAGATACTGATGCTTAGAGATGTCAAGTAATTTGTCCAAGGGTCACACCTTTCTGCATCTCCCTGATGAATGATAGAAACAACTCCTCAACGCTAGAAACAATGGCATTTATGCAATTTGCTTTGGAGGACAGATTCATAGAATAAGTCCCTGTTCATCAGTTTACTGGTACATAGTGAAGTGCTCAAAAAATACTTGTTGGAGCCGGGCTTGGTGGCTCAGCCTGTAATCCAGTGCCTTTGGGAGACTGAGGTGAGTGAATTGCCTGAGCCCGCGGGTTCAAGACCCGCCTGTGCAGCGAGACTTCATCTCTACAATAAATCAAAAAATCAGCCAGGCATGGTAGCGCTTGCCTGTAATTCCGGCTACTTGGAAGGCTGAGACGGAAGGATCGCCGGAGCCCAGCAGGTCGAGACTGCGGTGGCCGGCAACGGCCACTGCACTCCAATCTGGGCGACAGAGTGAGACTCCAACTCAAACAACAACAACAACAGCAACAACAACAACAACAACAACAACAAAGCAAATACTTGTTGGGAAATAACTTAATCTATTTCTTTACTTATTCTGGATTTGCCCATTTTGGTTCTTTGAAACAATGTTATATTTTATTATCCTGGTCCATTGAAGTAGTAGTTTAATCAGTATTTATAAAAAATCAACAATGGTAGCAGGGCATGGTAGTGCGTGCCCGTAGTTCCAGCTACTTGCAAGGCTGAGGCGGAAGGATCGCCTGAGCCCAGCAGGTCGAGGCTGCGGTGGCCAGGAGCGTGCCACTGCACTCCAGACTGGGCAACAGAGTGAGACTCCAACTCAGAACAAACAAACAAACAAACAAAATCAACAATGGAATTGTATCTCAGCACTTGTAGTTAAGTTTAAAATAAAAACTGATAGATGAAAATCAAATATATTTAAAAATTTTTTAAATAAGATAATTCTATAGATTATTCATAGAAATGTGTTAGTGAAAGTATGTAGCAGTTCAAAGATGCTAAAAATAAATGAACTGAAAAAGGCAAATGAAATTCTTATATATTCTGCCATAATGCTTAGTGATCCTCCAGTATGGTATTAAAATATACTTTTCAACATTCTCAATTTCTCTGACTTCTGTAGCATCTCAGTATTAGAGATGTATTTCTTTCTTATATAGTTAATGCCATAAGAGGGAACACTAAACATTAAAGGATAAATAATTAACTTCATTCCACTTAAAGAAGGAATTATGTGCGAGTTAGGCAGACAGAAGAGACTTCTATGCCCAATTCACGTTGACTACATGTACCATAGCCAGCTCATTCAGCCTACCACGAAGAATTCATTGAATGTATTAATTTTAAAATATGGTCATGGGAAGCCAGAAAAGGAGTCATGTTGCCATAAGCAAGTTGTGTTTGCAAGTCTGTTACCAAGACTTCTTTTCCTTGCACACTGATGAAAAACCCATTAGCAGATGTCTCCATTTCCTTTCTAGTTGATCTCCTAAATGAAGCATGTCATAAACTTAAAGCTAGATTCAAAGTCTTTTTTTTTTTTTTTTTTTAGTGAGGGAGCAGGATTTATTGAGGACAGAAAATCTTCCACTGTGGGAGGGAGCCTGAAGGGGTTGCCCTAGATTCAAAGTCTTAAAAACATAAAATGGAGTTAAAATGTGAAAATCTCAAAATAGTTTCTAGTTATTGCATTTCTCATTTTTTCACAGCTCATTGTCCCTGACAAAATAGCCCTTTTTCTTTCTCTGCTCTCCATCCTTTACCCTGTCTACTATGCAGCTGAAGATTAGGAATGGATGGTAAGTAAACGATACATTGTTTCAGTCTTTGCTTGGAATTTGCCACGATCTCTGCCAGCAAACTCAGTCTTGTTAACAAACTATATCCACTCTGTTTCAGATATGCAGAATAGAGGTTTTGGAGTCAGTGTATGATTAACTACTGGATGATATTTACAGAAAATTTTACAGTGGTGCTGACAAGTCTGGTTATCTGGGTGAAAGCCAATGTTATCCTAATGACAGATTGTTGGGAAAATAAACATATAAGAGATGAATTGAAACAATGATATAAATGACTCTTTAGTTATTTTCAAATGGGAAAAATTCATCAGAATATTAAATGTTTCAAATGAGAGTCATGCAACACCATCAATGATTTATTTCATGACGTCAATTATTTATTATCTAGAGCGACTTATGTCAAGGTAAGTGGATCATGCAGCTTCATTCTTATTATCTTGTGTCTCATGGAGTCATGGCAACATGACATCATTCATATCTGTTTTACAATATAACAAAATATATGGAAAAATGCTTTTATAAGTCATCCTGGTAGTAATGTAATAGATGGAGTCTCTAATTTTATTGTAAATACTTATTTTCCAAGCTGGCTTGGAAGGTTGACAATCCTCTCAAATTTGAATTAATGTAGACAAGGAGTACCAAGAAGGGAATCTCCAAGCTACTTTTAAAGGAAATTACAGTAGTAATCCTTAATAAGATAAGCAATGTTTCCTAAATCTACTAACAAAAGGAAGTTAGACCTCAAATACACCGAAAACTCTTCTATTTTCTGTACTAGTCAGATAACAATACTTTGTACATGTGTATGTATGGTGCTTTACCATTTAAAAACCATTTACCTGTACACAGTAAAGTTATGATATAGGTGTTAATCATTCCAATTTCTTGAATTAAAAAAATCTTCTTAAAAAACTTGTAAAACCTGTGATTTATCAAGATCTCAAAATTAGAAACCAGAAAAACTAGAATATAAATCCTTGTTTTCTGATTCAAAATTGAAATCTCTTTCTACTACCTTTTGGCTCTTTTAATTGCCTGTATGATCACATACACACAGGGGCTTGGTGAAGATATGTTAATCGTTTTAGCTGTCCAGCTAATGTATACACATGAGTATCTGATCAATTATGTACCAAAATTGACCTCATTCACAAAACAGTAAACATGAATGTTTAAAAGAAATAAAAAAACGATTGTCTAGTTTTTTGTTTTGTTTTTTGTTTTGTTTTTGTTTTTTGCCATGAGCATTGCCAGTATTGAGATATATACTACACTGGATATTTATTTTCTGTTAGTATGGTGACACATGCAATACCATGAAAAATTACAAAATCTATGAAGGGAAAAATGTGATTTCTTGTCTTTTCCTAGACCAAGGAAAACTCTGAAACCTAAGAGTTTAATTTAATATGAAACTAATACAGGCCAAATGAATAAGTTAATTCAAAATTAAATTAATCTAATCACTATCAGTCCAATCCTAACTAGAAATCTTATCTTCTTTTTATTTCTCAATATCTTATTCTCTATTCAGAAAAGTAAGTGGAAATATTTTACTTCCATGATGTTATATTTGCAGAATTGGATGAAGATTGCTACATTTGGTGTAACTTGGTATTTTGAGCTGTCAAATGTTATGTATCCAGAAAGCGTTCCATAAAAAATATGAAGTTCATGCTCCTCTTTTAAAACCCATGTGAATATTAAGGGAAACAGAACCCATAAATATATAATTTTTATATATAGTTATCAAAATATTCTTTTGTGAGAAATGCTTGATGTTCCAGGAGTTTAAAAGCTTTTATGATGTCTATGTTAGTACCAAAGTTTTAACTTCCCAGAATTAAGATTTTATTTAAGTTCAAAATACTGAAGCATTAGATTTAGATTGATCCTTTACTTGGGCTCACTATACTCTCTCATTGCATTTATTCTTGCTTTTGATAAATGTGGTGGTTCTTTTCCCATGTGAATTCTTTTTTGAAGAATAATCAAAGGAAAACTGTAAAGATGTTTAAAGTATTTATATACAGTTAAAATTAAATAGCTTTATTGAGGTATAATAAATTGCACATATTAAAGTGTACAACATGGAACATTTTGACAACTGGATGCCATAAAACCATCACTGCAATCACAGTAATGAATATATCTGTCATTCTTAAAAGTTTCCATGTGTTCCTTTGTATTTCTTCCTCCTGCTCTTTTGCACCCCACCCCCATCTGCTGACAATTGCTGTTTGATGTCTGATCAGATATATCTAGAAATGACTGGTGCATACTTTGCATTTTTTGAAGTTTATATGAATAGAATGATATAGACTGCAACTCTCCTTTTTCTTGTTTCCTTCACACTGTGTCATATGGATACTCATTTGTTTTGTGTGCATCAACTGTTCAGTTGTTAATAAGTGAGTCTAGCAAGGATGCAGGATACAAGATTAACATTCAAGAACAATTATGTTTATGTATACTAACAGCAAATAGTCATTGTTGGGTGGTACACTATGTGGATATACAACAATGTGTTTATTCATTCATCTGTTAATGAACATTTGGGGTGCTTTCAGTTTTTAGCTAGTACAAAAGAAATTTCTATAGACTTTGCACACAAGCTTTTGTGTGACATATGCTTTCATTTCTCTTGAGCAAATATCTAGAAATGGCTGGTCCATACTTACACATAAACAATGTATGTTTACTTTCTATTTTTTATTTATTTTGAGAGACAAGATTCCACTATGGTGCCCAAGCTGGCCTTGAACTCCTGAGCTCAGTGGATCGTCTCATCTCAACCTCTATAAAGGCTGGGATTGCAGGCATGCACCACTGTGTGCAACTCTCATTTAACTTTTTAAAAAACACTCCTAAACTTTTTCCCAAAGTGATTATGTGAATGTACTTATATATATGTAGACATATATTAATTTATTTCACTTCATTAGGTTTAGGGAGTTACAAACAATTTTTTGTTACACGAATGCATTGTAAAGAAGTCTGGGGTGTAAGTGTAGCCTCTAACCTCATCTGTGTACATTGTACCCAATAGGCGATTTTTTTTTTCAATCACAAACCTCCTTCCCATGCTTCCCCTTTTGAGTCTTCAATGTCCATTATGCCATTCTATATACCTTTGCAGTTCCTTAATTTAGCTCCTACTTATCAGTGAGAATATGTGGTATTTAGTTTTTCATTCCTATTTCACTTAGTATGATGGTCTCCAGTTCCATCCAAGTCGCTACGAAAGATACTCCATTTTTATGGCTGAATAGAATTACACTATTTTGTATTCTTACCAGCTATGAGAATTGAAGTTGTTTCACTTCCTTGGGTACAGTTTCACGACCTTGCCTACACTTGATATTATGGACTGAATGTGTCCCTTCCCAAGATTATATGTTGATAATTAGGTTTAGATGAAGTCATGAGGGTCAGGTCCTCAGAATAGGATTAATTCCCCCACAAGAAGCAACATTAGAAAGCTTGTGCCCTTTCTTCCTTCTGTCTCTCTTTTTCCCATGTGAGAACATAAGAAGATTGATGCCTGCAAAAAAGGAAGAGAGCTCTGACCAGAACTTGATCATAATGGTACCCTGATCTTAGACTTCCCGCCTCCAGAGTTATGAGAAAATAAATTTATTGTTGTTTAAGTCACACAATTGACAGTATTTTGTTATGAAAGTATTGGCATACTAAGACACTTGGTAAAATCAGTCTTTTTAAATTTCAGACATTCTAATAGGTGTGTAGTAGTATTTCACTGTAGTTTTAATTTACCCCTTTTAAACAACGAATTATGTTGAATATCTCATGTACTTAATTGCCACATCATATGTCTTCTTTAGTGAAGTGTGTGCTCAAATCATTTGCCCATTTAAATATTAAGTTGTCTATTTTCTTATTGAGTTTGATAGTTCATTATGTATTTTGTGACAAATTATTTATCAGATGTGAGATTTGCAAATATTCTTTTTCGGTGTATTTTTTTTTCAATTTTCTTAGCAGTGTCTCTTAAAGAGCAGAAGTTCTTAATTTTTAGTAGATCCAATTTATCTTTATGAACTATGACTTTATGAACTATGACTTTGCATCTAGGAAACAATTACCTGTGAGAAAATAAAATGGTACAGACACTTTGGAAAACAATCAGACAATTCCTCAAACAACTAAACATAGATTTAATATATGACCCAACAATTCTACTCCTAGGTATAAACCCAGGGGAAAAGACAACATATATCCACACAAAAATGTGTATACTAAGCTTTATGGAAGCACTATCCATAGGAGTCAAAAGTCACAGTAGTCAAACTCCAATTCCCATCAGTTTGGATGAATGGATTAACAAAATATAATATATCTATGCAGAGGAATATTTGGTCATGGAAAGAAATGAAATACTGATACATTATATAACACAGGTGAACCTTGAAAACATGCTAAATGAAAGAAACTAGTCACAAAAGATGACATATTATATGGTACTATCTATTTGGAATGTTCAGTATAAGGAAATCTATAGAGAGTGAAAGTACATTAGTGGTTGCTTAGGGGTGGGAAGGGGGGACCAATAGCGCTAAAAGATGGTTTTTTAAAAAAAGATAAGAATGTTCTAAAATTGAGTATGGTGATGGTTACACACATATATAAATATACAAAACCCATTAAATTGTACACTCTAAATGGGTGAATTATGTAAGAATTATATCTTAATAAAGTTGTTAAAAATAATCATTGCCTAACCAAGGTCACACAGATTTTTTTTTTCTATGCTTTCTCTAGAAGTTATACAGTTTTATCTCTTACACTCAGGCCTAGAATCAATCTGAGTTCATTTTTATATGGTACAATATATTAATTGAAATATTTTTAAAAGGAGCATATGTAATTATTCCAGTATCATTCATTGATGAAAAGACTATAGTTTCTCTATTAAAATTCATTTACACCTTTGTTGAAAAACAATTGCAGGTCTATATTTAGACTTTCCATTTTGTTAATATCTCTGTCTACTGTTGGGAGCCAGCCTTAGAGGCCCACCTGATTGACAGGGTCCTGGTGGGCCAAAGACACCGGGCCACAGGGCAAGCCCGGGAAGTAGAGGCCCTTCTGTCTTCCACCTTTACTGTTGATACGCCAAATAATTCTGTGCAGTTGTGGAAGAAGAAAACAACATGTTTATGTGAAGTACTCACAGCTAACCTGGGAATATCATGGTTCATCTTTCCATTTCCCACTATGCCGTTTGACATTTTCTAACATATGCAATAGTTAAACTCTGAAGCACATCAAGAATGCTTTCTTTCACTTGGTTATAAGTTACTAGATATTGCTTGAGTAAAAAATGATATCAGTATATTCACTCCTTATTTGACTTAAAATTATGTAGTTTAGTGTTTAGACATAAGGTTTTTTAGAAGCACAAGTTTATAGTAAGTTCATTATGAATTAATTATAAATTCTAACACTTATCTAGGAGTTATGTAGGTGATTTATAACACTGTTTTCACAGATTTAGGATGAAGATTAATCATTAAGGTTTTTACTTAATTCAATAGTTAAAATTTTAAGTTAATGTGTATAGAGTGGGTTTTCACTGAATTCATTGGATACTTTTATGATAAATTAGCTAAATACAAAGAGCAACCTTGGGGGCCTGGGAAACATCACTAAAAGCTTCTTTTGAGTTTTCTTTGGAAATAAACACTGCAGGATAAGAGAAAAGTGAAGAAGACACCTGGACAAGAAAGGCGATTATGAAGCTTTGAAGGCCACAGAAGCCCCAGAGAGAAAATTTCTGATACATGGAGAAATGTGCACTTGGAAACTTTCTTGAGCCATTTCAAGGACTGTAATTCAGGACTTTGGACTAAAACTATCATTTTTGACTTTATGAATAAGACTCATGGACTGAAAGTAGATAGAGTTCTTGGCTTGTTTGTTGCTTCTAAGACCACTAGATAGTGGTAACTTTTAAAGGATAATGTACATGAAGGAATTTTTCTTTGTCTTGCCCCTTTACGAATGGTATAAAAGCTTTCTGTTAACTAACAGTAAATGTCATCTTTCCTGCAGGCATCTGGTCTGCAGGCAGGTGTCCAAGTATATTATTTTCGTCGTAAGTTCCTTCTTTCGCCTACTCTGTTTCTCCTTCAGGAAACCTCACACCCGGTGGGAGCAGAACTCCGGTAGTCTACCTTGAGATCAATACCACAGTGTCTATTTTGCTCTAACCTTATAATAAATCTTGAAGTTAAGCAGCTTAAGTCCTCTGACTTTGTTCTTCTTCAAGACTGTTTTGGATCTTCTAGTTTACATTCCATATGAATTGTAGAATCAGCATATCAATTTCTACAAAAGAAACCCTGCCAAAATCTTGACTGAGAGTTTTTTGAATCCCACATTAAATGGTACATTTGGTAAAACTGATGAACTTTGACATATTATCGCTCAAAATCCATAGTTTACCTTAGGGTTTGCTCAAGGTGGTTTTTACATTTTATAGGTTTAGACAAAAGTTTAAAAGTGTAATGACATGTATCCACTATTATAATGTAATGTGGAGTTTAGTATTTAACATTTAGCCTATGAGCCATTTAGAATTAATTTTTATGAAGGATATAAATACTGTATCTAATTTCATTTTTTTGGCATCAGGATGTTCAGGTCTTATTCCACTTGAAAAATCCTTTGTGCACTGTATGTTCATCTTTCTCTTTTCCCTAACCTTTGGCAATTGTTGATCTTGTTATTGCCTCTACAGTTTTGCCTTTTCCAGAGTGTCATATAGTTGGAATCATAAAGTATTTAGCTTTTCAGTTTGGTTTCTTTTACTTGGTAATATGCATTTAAAATTTCTCCTCCATGTCTTTTCATGATACTGAATAATACTCCACTCTCTGAATAGATATACCACAGTTCATTTATTCCCCTAAAGAAAGACATCTTGGTTGCTTCCATGTTTTAACAATTATGACTAAAGCTGCTATAAACATTCATCTGTAGGTTTTTGTGTGCAGATTTTGGTTTATTTGAATAGATATCAAGGAATGTGAATGCTGTACCAAATGGTTAGAGTGTATTTAGTTTAAAAAATATGTTTAATTATTATGTGTGCATAATATGTGTATGAGTATGTTTGGTTTTATAAGAAACTGTCAAACTGTCTTCCAAAGTGGTTGTACTCTCTTGCATTTCTACCAGCAGTTGAATAAGAGTTCTTATTGCTCCGCATCCTTGTAAGCATTTGGTGTTGTCAGGGTTTCAGATTTTTGGTGTGCAGTGGTATTTCACTGTTTTAATTTGCATTTCTCTAATAACATAAGATGTTGAGCATCTTTTCATTTGTTTATTTGTCACATGTACATACATTTTCTTTGGTTGGTTGTCTATTTAGAACTTTTGCCCAATTTTAAATCAGGTTGTTTATTTTCTTATTGACGAAGTTTTAGAGTTCTTTGTATGTGGGGGTCCTGCTCCACAAGGGTCATGAGATTTCCTGAAGGAGAGACGGATAGGCGAAAGACGAAAACATTATACTCGGACACCTGCTTCCTGAACAGATGACAATTTAATGTTAGTTAACACAGAGCTTTTATACCATTTGTAAAGGGGCAAGACAAAGAAAATTCCTTCACGTACATAGCCTCTACAAGTTACCACCATCTAGTGGTCTTAGCAATAAACAAGCCAAGAACCCTGTAAACATTCAGATAATGAGTCTTATTCATAAGGCCAAAGATGATAGTTTTAGTCCAAAGTTCCAAATTACAGTCCTTGAACTGTCTCCAGAAAGTTTAGCAGTAGTCTTCCTTCTGGGGCTTTATGACCTTCAGAGTTCTGTAATCGCCTTTCTTGTCCAGGTGTCTTCGTTACTTTTCTCTTATCCTGCAGTGCTTGTTTCTAAAGAAAACTCAAAAGAAGCTTTAAGTAATGTTTCCCAGGTCCCCAAGGTTGCTTTCTGTCTTTAGCTAAGTTATCATAAAAGTGTCTAATTAGTATATTATGAGTTCAGTGAAAACCCACTTCATAAATGTTAACTTAGAGTTTTAACTATTGAATTAAATAAAAACCTTAAAGATAATCTTT